CTCTCTTTTCCCCTTTTTTTTTTTTCGTTTTTTTTTTTTGGAAGCAGTATCTTGGCTATCTCGGCTGTTTGTGCTTCTGCTCCCCGTGAGAGACGGGGAGCATTCAATGCTTGCCAACCGTTTCAATTCCAGGGCTTCAATGTGACGTAGCACTTTTTTCTGAATGTATCTGGCTGCACTTCGCTGCAGCAGCGGATGTATCTGAGGGCAATCAGGTTCAGAGCTTGGTACCTCTTTTCCCTTCGTTTTTTTTTTTGTCTTTTTTTTTTCCTTTTCGACTTTCCAGAATGTATGTGGCTGCACTTCGCTGCAGCAGTGGATGTATCTGAGGGCAATCGCGTTCAGAGCTTGGTACCTCTTTTCCCTTTGTTTTTTTCTTTTTTTTTTGTTTTCCTTCTGAAGACTCTTGGCTGTTTGTGCTTCTGCTCCCCGCAAGAGGCTGGGAGCATTCAACGAGATCTTTCAAGACGGATCTGGCTGCACTTCTTCCCAGGCCATTTTCCTGTACGCGAGTGGAAACTAGAAAACTATCGCCTCTTTACATTCCAGCTGCTGGCAGCAGGTCCAGAATAAGAGCGGTACCTGTGCCAAGCATCAAATGTCCCATGTTGGTTCCCGCCTCCTGCAGGCTCGGCAAAAATCGGCGCGCAGGGCATATTCAGGCTCGGCTTCTATAGCTGGCCCAAGTACTGGTGGTTTAAACCACCACTCTACGTGACACCGAAAAATGGCATTCCGATGAGTTCCAAGCGGGTCTTTAGGCGGGGCGCCAACCGGCAGGCGCAGACGGGTCCAGTCCCTCAATTTTCACGCGCCAACTTTGGCCATTTTTCGCACTCAAAAAAATTAAGAAAGAAATCTGAAAATTTGAGATCCTGTAGATTAGGTCATGATCTTTCCGGGAAAAATATCAGATCATTTAGACCATGAAATAAATGCCGCGCCCTTCGTCACATTTTCCATTTTGGCCACTCTACAACTTGTGGTTCGACGGGAAAAGTACCCCAAATTTCAGCGATTTTTCAAGCTCAGGACAATATGTAGAAAAATCTGAAAATTGGAGGGTTCATAACTTCATAGATATGGTCGTGATCTTTCCAGGAAAATACTCTTAAAAAAAACTTAAAACATCGTTTCAACCACGAAATAGGTCGTGGCGGCAATTCATCGCATTTTTTATTTTCGTCGCTGTGCCAGTTCTCCACACTATGCTACCGGTAGCCCCCATGAACCGTTGCTACCGGTCCCCCGACTTTCCAACGTCGGGTAGAGTGGTAGTTTAACTGCAGTCAAGAATGCACCATATTTATTAAAAAATAATAATAATAATAATGCACCCTATCTTTCAGGAGAAAGGGGAAAGAAAAAAGGGAAAAGATGAGGCAGTAGCACCACCTCATGGCCCGTTACGAGGGATGCTGACTGGCAAGAGCGCTAACGCCACTGAATAACATCCAAAAGCAGAGGAACGGTTCAACACTACCTTCTTTCCCCGAATACAACGTACGGTCATTAAAGCTGTATGTAGACTGAAAGATGCCTCAAATACAGCTATAATGACCGTACATTGTATTCGGGGGAAGAAGGTAGGACATAGAGGAATACTGTTGATTCTAGGGGAGAGGTGTACGGGAACGGCGGACACTCCAAGAGTGAAAGGTTTCAATGCTAGGGGGAAGAGGGATACTGTGGACCCCATGGGTCAGATGGGAGGGGAATGAACCCTTGGGGCAAAGGGAAACGGCTTCTCTGAGGTAACTAACATAAAGGGGTTGGTCTACATAAACGGTCGACTGTGCTTATAATACTGCTACCGTCCTCCCCCGAACATAACGCACCCTGAAAATGAACGTATGCAAGGTATGTTTCCTGCCCGATACAGGCAAAATGGGGGTGCATTGTGTTCGGGGGAAGACGGTAGTAATTCAAGCTCGTACATTACGCCACCAATAGACAGATGGAGCCATCACAAATGCAGGGCCGCTCTCACTTGTGATGGATGCCCCTGCCAATGGCCCTGAGTGCGGTGCCCTCATGATGTTTTCGCTTCCTTGTTTTGAAGAAAAAAAGGGCAAAAAGCCGTACCCCTCATGATGTTTTCACTTCTCTTGTTTTGAATGAAAAAAAAGGGCAAAAGACCTTGGCCCTCGTGATGTTTTCGCTTCTCTTGTTTTGAAGAAAGAAAACTTGACCATCCGCATTGTCCGATCAGACAACCTGACCATCCCTGTGTCCGCCCCTACTGAAATTTACCTCAATATTTTATTATTTTCTGCTTTTTTACTTTGAAAACTTTTCTGCAGGTTCTCCATCAGATGAGGTATTTGCCCATACAGTTTTGAGGCACATAGATCAGTAGAAGAAAAAATAAAAACTGCCAAAGATGGCGGTGTCAAAAACATCCTCTCCGAGTCGTTATTTTTGTTCTTCATTTTCCTTCCTTGTGTTGTTTTACTTTGGGGCTTTAAATATTTTGATTTTTTTCCCCCCCTTGTGGGTTCTTTGTGAAATGAGGTATACCCTTGTAAATTTTCGGGGAGTTCTGAATTTACGGAAAAAAAAGAATAATCACCAAAGACTGCAGTGTCAAAAAGAAAGCAGGATAGTACGTGGGAGACCATGTTTTCGGCACAGCCCATCTTCGGCAATTTTTTTTTTGTTCCAGTCCTCCTCTGCAGGTACAACTACTGCGGCTGATGCAGCTCCTGCAGCTGCTACAGCCGCTCTCGTCTAGTTTTTTCCCCCTCCTCTGCAGCAATTACAACCGCTGCAGCTGCAGTTGCTGCACCTATACTGCAGCTACTGCAGCAGCTGCAGCTGTTGCGTCTGCTGCAGCAGACCCCCCMCCCMCACCCCCCCCCCCAACCTGTTTTTGGTTTTTACTTTTTTTTTATCCAATTGACCTGGATTTTGTTTGGGTGGGGGGGGGAGGTCCCGGCATGGTGCGCGGAAACCCCAATTTTTCAACTGAACATGTCGGGGCCTGGATTGGCCGAACATGCGTTGTCCGGGATCCCAGACAATGGGGGTACCGGACATCCAACTGAAACGTTCGGGACGGCTGTCCTCCCATCGGACAGCTGGAAACATAGCAGATAAAAGAAACACAGGAGGGGGGAGGATAGATTTTTTTTCGGCCCGAAGTAACCCCGGGCAAGGAATGGTTCCTGTTCCAGTGTAATAACAGCCAGCTTATTTCCCCTGGCCTACGTGCGGAGAAAGCAAGACAATTTTTTTTTTCTCAAAGGACAACCGTCCTTCCCAATCGA